CGGTGTTTCACAAGGCGCTTCCCGCATATTTATCCGCAGAGTTAGAACAGCTACAGAAGCGCGCCATGCGAATTATTTTTCCGTTTGTACCATATAGCGACGCATTACATCAAGCCAACTTGGAGACGCTCTCTCGACGCAGGCAGTCTATCACAACTAAGCTTTTTAATTCCATCACTTGCAACTCAGACCATAAACTGCATGAGCTCTTGCCACCTCGTAACAATTGTGAATCCAATTTAAGACGAAAGAGGAATTTTAATGTCCCTCTGGCTAAGACGAAGAGACTTAAGAACACATTTATATAAAGCAACTGTAATTAAATTTTTAGCTACATATGTGTACATTTTTCTTATATTTTTTCTCATCTTTTTATTAGATTTTATTATTGTAACGATTAATCTAATTCAGCTTTTGGCTGCGATTTTAATCAGAATAAACTATCTATCTATCTATCTAGAATCATGCGTAAGATAAGTAATTCAGAACGCTCTAAAATTGCAAAGTTGGTAATAACCAATACAGTTATTGCTGCCGCGCAAGCGAACCTGAAGCGAGCGAGTGAGCAAGGCAGCAGACCTAATCCGCACAGGGATAAAAATTTTCAACTACCCACGATGCATCTGGAATTTTGAATCACACTGCAACGGATTTTTCTCGCAATGACAATTCCTTGCACACCCATTGCGTTTATCTACCAAAATCCGCTGGCGATTTCGGTTACATGAAGTTTGTTAAGGTTTGGTTGAAATCCTCGATTTAACGTGTCTCTCTGATGAATTTCCCTTTAACATTATGTTGTCATGATATGTTTTGACGATCTTTAAGGCGGTATGTGGGATTTCTTACAGTCTTACTGTTCGTGAGTCTTTTTTTTTTCCTTTTTCATTTTTTTTCCTTTTATCTATTTACTAATTCCTTGTTTTTTCTAGCTTTAGTGCCAACCTACCTCCTATGCCTGAACATTATTTAGCTTTACTCAGCTCGATTAGCTTTTTAGTTATTCTGAGTAAATGTTACCTTTTTTTCAGAAAAAGTTTTCTGGCACCAATCAGAAGCCAGAACGGCGGCGACCGTTGGAACTGGTCTGGTAAGACATTGTCCCCAGGGGCTCTTCTCGCCGTTCTTTACTTTTCTTCGTGTCATATTTTTCCGCCCGTTTAGACTTTCCCTCGTCCCCACTATCTGCCCCTGGGTCTCCGAGGATGTGTGATGGAATGCGTAGAACAAAATATTGATTGAGAAGCCACAAAGTGAAAGAGCGATGTTGCGCATGCCCCGAATCTGACATCCACTGTGAATCTAAACTGTGAATCTTAGCAGTGAATCGAGATTTAATTCGTTGTTTATGTAGACAGGCGATTTTTTTTACCTGTAAGGTACACTAGTATTAGTATACCATGGCAGCGCAAAATAGATCTGAAGAGACAACTTTGGTTCTCAATTATTATAGCTTGCGTAGCTAACAGGATCAGAGTTAAAGAGTCTTCTTTTGGTGTAGCGAGCTGTGAGTGACTTTTGCCTATTCTTTTCCCGGCTTTATCGCTTATCAGTCATCGGTTGCTTTTACTTGTGGTGTTTGTAAACATTCAGGTGGATATCATGTGGAATTTTGGTTGCGGAGCTCTAGACCCAACGGAGGTCCCAGGCAGGTCCTGAGCCAGGGACTTTCTCAACTTTTTGCCACCCATTTTGCGTTCCTTTGCTCACGAGTCGGTTAGCGCGAACTTTCCAGGGTATATCAGTGGGATATCCTTGGCCAAATAATCGGGGCTTAGGTAGGTAGGTAGGTAGGTAGGTAGATTCTTTATTTAAAACTAGCTAAAACTCGGTAAAATCTTCAGTAATAATAGAGTAAAAATCTAATCACAATTAATTAGACTAAAAACTATTGACATACTGTTTTACAAGACTGCCGAGTGAGAGTCCGACGACTCAAGTACATGTTTGATTTACTCTTTAAATTTCCTGACTGATTTTCGGGTAAAGAGTTCCACAACAAAGCACCGCTGTAACTGAAACTTCGTTTCAAGGTAGTTAGTACGCGACCTGGGCAACGTCAATTTATGAAAGGAATTGCGCAAATCATAGTCTGTGCTTCGTTCGTGAAATAGGTTCTGCAAGTACACTGGAGCTTGTTCATTTAGAGATTTAAACATCATTATTGCTTTATGCTTCTTTCTCCTTATAACTAATTTGTCCCATTTGAGTATATCAAGAAGCAGGCTCGAGCTAGTCCCATAGTTGGCCTTTAAAATTACTCTAGCTGCACGGTTCTGTAACTTTTGTAATTTGTCACTCAGTTGATCACTTAAGCCATCCCAAACGAGGCTACAGTAATCAAAGTGAGGTTGAATTAAGGAGTTATAGACTAGTACCGCAGTAGATTGAGAGATAAGGGGCCTGATACGTCTAAGGGCACCTATAGCCGAAGTTACCTTCTTACACAATTCGTTAACATGATTAGACCAGGAAAGCCGATTGTCGATAATGACACCTAATGATTTTGCGTGATCAACATTGGTGATAACTTGGTCTTCTAGTTTGATGTTTATTTCGTTATGGCTTTCCGCGAGAAGCTTCTGGCGAGAGCCAATAACCATAAACTCGGTTTTCGCAACATTAAGACTAAGCTTATTGGCTTTGAGCCAACAGTGAAGGTTCAGTAGTTCTAAGTTAGTCTCTTGTTCAAGGTCAGCTAGAGAGGAACCAGAAATGGTAATAGTTGTATCATCTGCGAACATTTTAGCGCATGCTGAATTAAGGCAGTTTGGAAGATCGTTTATATAGATTAAGAAGAACAAAGGACCGAGAATACTACCCTGTGGGACTCCGCATCTTAGTTCGCTTGCACTGGACAATACGCCATTAACATAACATTTCTGGCTCCTGTTACCTAGGTAGGAGGCAAAGAATCGTAGGGAACCCAGATCAAGTCCATAGTTTGCAAGTTTATGTAACAAAATTGCATGGTCAATGGTGTCAAAAGCCTTTTTAAGGTCGATATATACCACACCATTTAAAAGGCCGTTATGTTAATAGACCAGTTAATAGGCTTGAGAACTAATAGCAAATTGATACCTGAGGGACATTTTACGCAAGTTGAACGAGAACGAGTTAGATAACCATGAAAATCACGATTAAAGTGGAGGAGCAAGGAAATAGAGGCAGGTGGAAGGCTATTAAAATGTGAGAAAACAAAACATCGAATTTGTAGGATGAATGGAGGGAAAGATTAAAAAGCTTCGAGACTAGGAGGCTTAGAACGTGTTCGTGGAGGAGAAAAGTGATAATTCGCGGGAGAGAGAGAAAAGAAGAAAAACCGATCTGTTTAAGCAGGCTCTCAAGGTCGTGCTTCACATTATCAGTGTTTTGCCTGTCGGACGCTAATTTCTAACTGAATCGATCGTTGTTTCGGTCAGCATTTGTGAAATAGAGTACACAGTCTCTCAAGAGACAATCGACAGATTCCAACAAATCCGTTGTCGGGGAGCCAACAACCACCACTACTGTGAGGGCAATGAATAAGAACCAAACCTTGCGCGAAATTAACGCGGTCATTGTGGCCATGCTTGATTCAAAGTGAAGTTACTTTTCAGCTCCATCGTACATGAGGGGTTTTTTGCTGACGGTATAATTCGGTGCCTCTTATACGACCACTTTCTGTGACCCCATATGCACCTGCTTGTTTGTAACGCACATATATGGGCTTTTTTCGTGCGCATATATGCGTGTTTGTAAGAAAATGGTCATATACTTGGGAATAAAAACCCCACAAAACAGGAAATTAAAAGAACGCAAGTATGCGTGGCAAAAAAACGCACGTATATCGTGTCATAATTTTGAAACAAGTGGCCAACCACATAGGAGCCGCTTACTAATCGGCTCCCGCACTCAAGTAAAGTGTTTTTCCCTGTGGGTAGTAAAACAACTTGATGTAGGCTGTGTATTTGCTTTGACCTCAGTCGCCTCAGGATAAATCTTCGGTACTACCCTGTACTACGCGACCTTCAAAAACATGAATACTCTTCTTAAAGCGTAAAGTGGGAAACTTGTTGGAAGACTTGGAAAGCAACGGTCCACGAAGCATGCTTTTGAAAATTGCCTTTCAAAGGAAATCTGATATGTGCAGCAGTTATATACCACACTTGCACCCTGGACCGTGAGTAGGTTATTCTTCTTTAACAACCATCTTTAGGCGAAACAACCTCGTTGGCAGGATTTATATTCTTTTCCTCCCCAGGCGCTTTCCAAAAACAAAAAAGTCAGAACTGGTCGGCCGGACTGGTTAGATAAAATATTAATCTTTTCTTGAAATTTTACCTAAAACCCATCACACCCGTGCTTAGCCTTTAAGAATATGCTGATCTGGCTGGATAGTCCTGGTCAATAGTGGAATTCTCCTTACGATTGCACTGGTCACTCTGGTCAGCCAGTTCTTACATTTGGAATGCATCAGTAGTATGCATATCTTGAGAGAGACAAGAAGAGAGACTGGGAACGAGGTAGCAGTAGTCATTAGGGTCGGGAAAACCGACTGTTGAAAGCTTTTGTCGCGCCCTGCCTTTTGACCGGACTGACCACCCCTGTCACGGTGCCTCCGAGGATGATTAGTCTCCTACACAGCTGTTCTCCGTGCCTTCGTGCGAGAGTAGAAGGTCCATCCCTGTGGGTGGAGGGGAGAGGGGCGTGTTGGTCAAAACCTTTTACTGGTGAAGAGTGAATATCTTTATTATCTGAAGACCTTTAGAAACACAAATTAAAGGGAAATCCTGAGATCTTAGTAATCACTTGAACTTCAGAGACAGAGGGTTAATTCGCATAATAAGTTCTTTTTTCAAAAAGGAATCTTTACAGGTTAGTAGTCTCTGATGAAAATTTAGCCCTGCTCTTTGAAAAAATAAAACGAAAAATTTGGATCGATTCGATTTTATCTCTCGCGATAATTAAGTCCCATTGGCCATAGTATTGAGTGAAAGCTACGCAAAAATTACAAACGTAGATTGTAAAGATTCTAACTTGTAAACTTCATGGTTTATTTAGGCCCTCGCCAGTTTCTTATATATTTTATATATTTTTTTTCAAAATGTAACCGTAATATTAAACAGCTCTTTTTGAAAACTATAACATACTAAACACTTTAAAATTAAGACACAGAGAACTGCGTATTTTACTGTGAAATGTAACGCGATACGAGCGCTACCTCAACTCGCGCATTTCCTCTACCAAAGGCTTCATGCACAAAATGTTACCAGACATGCGATTCAGGATGTTACGCTTCCCATCTGCAGAACAATCTTTGTAAATCTATTCAACCCCTTTGGCAAAGATAAAAAAGATTCCATTTTTTCCCCTCATTTAAAACTTAACTTTTAAAAAAACATTTTTTGGCGGAAACTAGTTCAAAAAGTATGGGAATGTTATTCCTCTTATTTTCCACCCATATATACTTTGATATACTTTAGTTTAGTTAAAAACTTTTTTCCATTTGCTATTGACTACTAACATTTTAACTTATCTGAAATATATACAGTCAACTGCCTTAGGCATCTGTAAATCATACCATTTATGCAGTTATCTGCAAGTTTCTATTATTACAACTCGCGCTAGACCTTAACTCGGAGGGAACTCACAACTATAGTGTTTAACTGCTGGAGGAAAAAGCGGGTCACCGCTCGTCTCGCTTCGCTCGCCGTGTTTAGTTTGTTTGCTCTTTCCCTCATTACGGAACCTGGTACCAGGCTAAACTACTACTATCTTTTACACGGAGAAAAACGTTTTCAAGCCAAGAAAAACTCAAAAAGAAGAATACCGAGTGACCTAAACGAGAATCGAACCGATGACACTTCACAATACCGGCTGCATGCTCATGCTTTCCGCAGTACTACTGCGATTTCTTGTTTGTTGGCTAGTTTGTGTTTTCTCCTTTCGGTATTCGTATGGTGGGTTCATGATACAGGGGCACCCAACGTCAATTTTCGGAAAATATCTGTTCGGAAGACGATTTGAGATCTAGAATTTTCGGAACATTTGCTGTAAAATTTCTTGCTTACCAGTCTCTCCTAGGATTTTCGAACATCTAAAAAATGGTATAATTGCCCATTTTTAACGGATTTTTTCCCTAAAAAGGTCACCTAGAATTTTCGGGAGCCTTTTTTCTGGCTGAAATTTTCGAAAAGGTAAGTTTTGATCCCAATAATTTTCGGATCACTAGACTTTCAGCTAGGAAATCCGAACAGATGAAAAATTTTTAGGGGATAAAAATATGCCTATATCTACCGTTTAAATACTAAAATACGTTTACCAATGCTATGTTTAAGTGGTTTTGAACTACATTCTCGTTGTTTGCCCCTGATGATACTATTTACTAAATGCAATTTAGTCTCGGTAGTAAATAAAGTTCGTGATAGAGCAAGAGAGAAGGTCTGCAAGTAACTGAACCCAAGTTGGTTGTCTGTAGTTCATTGTTTTCCGTTCAATGAGGCCAGTAGCATTTTGTAGGATTTGATGGAGGTGCTTTAAGGCATTCATCAATGTCTTCACATCCAGGGGGTGACCAGTTCTAGAAATAAAAAAATAGGTGTCACATAGCCTCTCTAATTTTATCAAACCTTTTGAACCTGTTGAGTCGGCAGCGAGCACAATTAGGAAACGCTTTTAGTGCCGTTGGTAATCACCCCGCGGGCAAAACTTCTAATGGATCCAGCTTTTTCCTACTTAATTATTCTTTTCTCGTCTGCAGAACATGAAGTATAAATGATTGTTACTGAGATGGACAAGTGCTACTTCAACTGTAGCTTTTCACTGCCATCTTAGCGTTAGTTAAGATTTTTTATTCCGACCCTCTGAGCACCATGTAACTGTGGAATTCTCTCGTTATTCAGGGTTAAAGGCGTGGAAAGAACAATCATATGATTTTGAAGATGGTCTGTACTAGCTAACCGAAAGAACTCGTACCTTCATTTATTCCTTGGGACAACACTGAATTGGCACAAACGATTTGGAAGCGGGTAAATTTCAACCGACACAGAAAACTTATTATTATTTCTCTTCGGAGAGTCACTACTTCTTAGCTTTGAATGTTTTGTTTTACGGTAACGCATTTTTGTCAAATTTCAAAAATAAAACACTTTAAAAAGACCTATTATGCTTCCAAAATCGCCAGGGCCGGGTTGTTTAAAGCTGGGTTAAGATAACCCACGGTTAGTGCGAAATGTGAATTTAGATATGAAAGCTTAAAAAGTAAATTCAGTTTAATTCTTTTTGTCAGCAAGTTGATGATTGGATGCTCTTAAAATGACAGAGAAAATTATCCGAGAGAATGTTTTTGAGCGAAAGAAAAAGAAACTCAGGTTAAATTTAATCCTAGGTTAAGGGCTAATCGACCTTCAAACAACTGGGCACAGAATTGTGACAGTAGTCAATAAGTGGTACCCTGAACTTGAAACTCACGGCCTTATGTGGTTACATACCATTACAGATGGATCACACATGTTTAGCTGAGGTTTTCCCGGTATCAGACTTGACTTGTGCTCAGACACTAGTTCTCTTATTGTAACCATAACTTCCTTGTACTCTGGAGTAGAGGATCTGTTATTGAGAGATTAACAATGCTTTTACTAGCCTCCCAAGCAGAGGTGCTTAGGGCATCGACATGCGTTCCCGCGTCCCCGCGAAGCCCTAGGAAGGTCTGTGTGGGAGGCTAAATACACACTTCGTACTACTAAGAGCTATCTTTCTTATAAATTAACCACGAGTAACTTTTCTGTCAAAATCGACGCCCAGGTTGTGGCATCCGATACTCAGATTCTAAGACTAAACAGTGTGCAGAACATATTTCACCAACGAACTTTCATATGGACAACCACGAGTTCCTCCTTAGCTATCATATGCTCATGACATTACTGGCGAAAACCACATATTTTCACCTTTAAGATTACTTCAATCGACGGAAACAGGGACGTGTGCATATTAGTCTGTTTCTGCCTTTTTATAACTGATCTTCAAAACGAAGGTCTTAGCATAAGACTCTTACAATCAGTTAGGGAAGTACATAATGCCAATTGGACTTTAAATCGCTACACAAAATCCTTGGATGTTAACATTCAACTTAAGACTTGCGCCTGTGCATACTCGTGCTATCAATAATACCAGTTAAACCTCCCAGCTCAGTCCACAACGATCACATTTGGGACAGAAGTAACTGAACAGAGAGGTTTACGGTCAAGTCGCCCGAAAGTCATCTCGCCCGAGCGGCGGAATTAATTTACGCTTAACTAGCCAGAAAGCCTAGAAAGCAATTTAGAAATCTTTATTCGTCGTTCTTTAGGCCAGAAAATAGGAATAAGCGTAAAAGGATATTAACTGTATTGTTGTGTAAGTCTAGGAAGCGTTGGGCGACATAATTTTAAGCGTTGTTCGGGTGAGATGACTTTCGGGTGACTTGACCGTAAACCAACTCAGGCGGGTCATTGTAGGGAGGTGGCCGTTCAAGAACGGTGTCGTTAAAAGAGGTTCGACTGTACCGGTTGGACGTTTAGATTGAGACTAAGAAAAACGGTTACTTGTGATCTATAGTATTTAAAAGAAGTAATTTTAGCCTTGTTATACTCGATGGGGTATTTCTCGCCAGGGTCCCGTCCCAGGTGAAACAGAACAGGTGATGAAGTGTAATTCATCTGGTCGTGCGTCGTAACGCCTGCGACATTCTCTCCGCGACAGTAATTTACTCCTCTCTGAAAGATAAAAGCAAGGGTCGATTACTTAAACGAAGTGTAACTTAGGCGGCAGTTTAGCAAATCTTTGGACCTCCAGATCTCTTGCATAGTGGGTTATTTTAAGATCATAAGTGCTTTTCCAGTCTACGCCTTATGCTTTCACGAAACTTTTCACGATAAGTAGTGTTAAGATAAAAGCGTTGGGCAAATTAAAAATGCCTTAGAACGCGGTTTTGTTAAACACTGGCTAAACTCCGTTAAAATAACTGGCCCAAAGTGTTTCAAAACACACATGGAGATTGTCAAAAACGACAAGATGAGAGTAATGGCAGTTTTTTCGTGTTTAGAAAGTCTCTCTTAAAAAACGCAAAATTTTGAAAGGTTATTCCGACTCTCTGATGAAAATTGATTTCATAGTTTTTCCTTAGCAACCTTTCTTTTTGTGACCTAAGCGGTTAGCAGTTGTAAAAGCTCAGTGGCCGATCTTTCGGCTCAGCACTATAGGAACCTACATTTTGGAAGAGTCAGATAAATTCCAAGGCTAAGTTTACGATTTGCAGCACGAACACAAGCAAGGGGAACGTATGTGACACTGATCCCTCAGTTCACAGTTTAAATACCTTGTAGTAGTACCAATCACCTCTACTTATTTGCATTTTCTCTTTTAACTGTTCATGCACCCTTGTTATGTACTGTATTACGAGTCTTCTTAATCTTACATGGAATTCTTCCCAACCATTTGTCCAGGTCCAGTAATGAGCCTTGTACAATCCATATCTAATGGCCATCATCTCGTTACCGCGATAGAAAAACACAGGTCTGCAGACAGATACACAACACTAACTTACTTCCCTATGAAGTACTGATATGGGTAATCACTGTTTCAGATTGAGGGTAATTAGCCTGTTCACTTTAAAGATCGTCGAGAGCGCGCGTGCTCCGCCCTCTTTCTCACGCTCCGCCCTCGCTCTCACACAGGGAGGATATATCCGCCCTGCTCTCACACGTTCGCTTCACTCGCGTGCTCATCGATTTTCGAAAAGAAAAAGGAAACAACGTATCCTGTGTACAGGCTAGAGGGTGATAGGTCCTTTGCAGTTAGTCTTTCACTCGGTAAACACCGCGATACTGAAGCGCAATGGACGCTCTGGGATAAGACAAATAAAGAGGTCACTTCATTTAAAATGGTTGTGTTTGTCTTTTCTGGTCATCCCAGCCTTCCTCTCCACGATGGGTTTTGTAGCACGTGACCGATTAGCTGCAAAGGGCCTATTTTTAAAACACGACAACACTATCGACAGAAATGAGAGAGTGAGAGCTGATATCTGAGCTGAGAGAACATAAATGTTGATAATATGGGGGCCTCTCTATGGATTAACTGAAAATCAACCGCGTCCTATCGTTGAACCTTGTTGTCACCTTTTTTCGGGCATAATACGCGGACAACATATTTCAACCACATATGCGATTTCCTGATGTCTTAACTCTCATCAAGTCCGAAGCTACTTACAAGGAACTCGCAGATAAAGTTCAATAAATGAATTGCGCCAAAAGGGGGTTTGAAAGTTGTCATTGTTTTTACTTGTATTGAAATTATAGCTATCAACTCGGCAACTTATAGCAACTCTAAAATTTGTATCAATTTACAATATAGTTTTACAATTTTGATTTTTCTTTTATGTAAACTGATGCAAAGGAGTATCACTCATTACAACTGATTTCACTGCTCAGTTTTAAATGAACTCAACTTCAGCAGAAAGGTCATATCTAAAAACCTCTTTGTGGGATTTCCATTTGTTTTGTTTCTTAACTGCAACTACTATAATTAGTATTTTCGCGTTCGAGGTACGAGAATGCAACCCCTAATTTTTGTTGGGTGTTTTGTGCATTATTGGGTGTCCTGTGCAATTTATAAGGGAGGTTTTTTTGAGATTGCCTTTTCGTCGTCGACTCGCTGTACGCAACCCTTACGTTCAAAATATGCCATAATCATATTTATCTTTACCGCAACCACCCTTCCCCCCTCAACTACTACCTGTATGCTTAAAAAATATATCGAACGCACCCTCCTAAGCTCCGATTACTCCTAGTTTATCATCAAATAATTGAAAAGCAGTTTTTACACGACATCTTACAGCTTACCCATATGCCTTCAAAATAGATAAAACGGGATAGAGTGACCTAATTCTTGTATAAGAACATATCACATTTTTAGCCACAAACTAACTGAATTCTAGCCATTGGTGTGACTGTGAATCAGAACATCAAATACCTGTCAGTTATGGTGTGATTAAAAAGAGTAGGGGTAAGATCTATGCCATCAAGCACTACACCCGATGGTGGTTTCGCTCCTGCCAACAGAAGAGCTGTAAAAAACAAGTCCATCTGTGTGCCAAGCTGGTGACTAACCTAAAACAAATAAACAAAAACCCAATCGCATCAAGACACATGTACTAAAGCTGAACATTTTTAGGGCAAGATTTTGCTATGGATTAAAACTGTGAACCTCTATGTGCGACCACAGCGATTCAAAATCCCAAATTGTTAGATAGATAGAGAGATAGTTTATTTGTAAAAAGCTTGCAGCTACTAAGCTGAATTGTGTATTTACAATATAATATATAATATAATATAACAGAATCTTACAATAGTGAGTATAATAAAATGATAATGATAAAGTCCTAAATAAATAATAACATCCTATAAATATAAAAAAGCTTAAAACTGTTAAAATATATACAACGTCATCGATCTCATTTACAAAACTCACCGAGCGCTAAAATTCGTTATCAATACATGATCTTACTAAAAAACTATTTTTGAAACGCTCGGTCTTACATTTGGGAATCGCAAAACGCCTTTTGCACCGAAGATTATAACACGACAGCCCTGACGATTGAAGCGTGTTATGTAAGCGATGGACCGGGTCATTAGCAATCGAGAGGAAGGTCCTTTTACATAAGCTAGCGATGTAGTCATTGATAGACATAATATTTGAAAGCTCTAAGGCCTTCTATAGGCCAGATAGTGCCCGTTTCTCCACATTCTCTAGATCTTTCTTTAAATACAATGGCAGGGCGTAGAAAAACGCAGGCGATGCGTAGGTCATGACTGACCTTATACAAGATGTATAAAAAAGAATTAATTCATGCCTTGCGACATTGGCCCTTTTGAATTGTATTAGGAAATACATACGTTTAGAAGCTTTCTTTATGATTTGATCAATGTGCATATTCCATGTAAGGTTGTTGGAGATCGTAACACTTAGTAATTTGGCGCTTTCAACACATTCTAGCTCTTGATTATTTACTACTATAGGCGCGAGTTGTGGTTTGTTCTTTGCAAATGAAATCCTAAGCTCTTTACATTTTTCACTGTTTAGTTTTAGTCTATTCTCAAAAGACCACTGCACGACAGTATCTGCAATCAGTTGGGAATTGCTACTGGCTCCTTTCACAACGATCTCGGATGTAGTTGTATCATCAACATACTTCCAGATATTGCCTGCATTATGGATTTCTAGATCGTTGATGAGCACCAAAAACAACCACGGGCCTAGTTTCGTCCCCTGGGGTACCCCGGATAGGACTGATCCCCACTCGGAGAAACATCTCTCTAAGGGTTTGTTACAGTCAAACCACCTCCAAGCTCTGTTGGGTAGCAATAATTTCAGATATTCCATATTTGATTTTAGCCTTTTATATTCAACCACTTGATGCAAGGTCTGACCTACTACCAATTCAAATTGAACAAGACGCTACGGAGCATACACTTCGGCGTCGTGGTTGTGAAAGACTAGTAAGAAATGAAATATGGTAAAAGTAAGGTGTTAATTTGTGAAATTATGGGATTTGTCAGGATATTCTGAAAAGAGCAACATCCAAGAGGCCTACTCGCCAGAAACTAGCATTTTGGGACAAATTGTCTCTGAGATATTAGCCCAGTTATGCCCTGATGACTCCATACAAATCCTTCTAAATTTGACTTCGGTCTAAACGTTTAGACCTAATCCATATGAGGTTACTGGCGGTGAATAACAAGTCTAACAAAACAAACAGTCAAAAAAGAATTCTCTATTTTTCTTAGTCACATCAGGCTTCAAAAACAGCATAGCAGTCTCATGTACTGATTAAGATATGTAAGGCAGGGTAAGGAGTCAATTACATTGAGCATGGAATTGGCTAAAACTCAATGCTACGAGTTCGAATGTTTTGAGGATAATTATTCACTGACTATCAGCAGGTAGGGATGTCGGATTAACACAAGGAAGTTTAATACCAAAGGAACATAGCCTTTACAGAGCTTTAAAACACAGCATCCGCCAACACAAACTTGACTTGAACTTAAGTAAAACCAGGGTAAAACTAAACAGCCTCTACCAATAATAAAAAACGCTCACTTGAACTTCAGTTGTCTTACGGCTTCCGCCAACTTGAAAACACAAAACTTGAAAATCGACCTTCGTCACACTTGACAAAACACAATAGTCCAGCTCGTGGGAAACTTAGTTTGTCAAAAGAACTCGCTTGGAACTTGTATACCGTTTGACATAAGGATCCAGAAAATACTAAACAGGCGAATAGGAGTAGCTTTTCGACACATTTTGTGATTTCAGTAACTGATGCAAATCTGCTGACTCATGCTGAAATGTAAATATGCCCTAATTAATATTCATGACTAATCCAAAAACGTAGAGAACGTTCGAGAAAGTTACGCAACGCATGAAAGCAATTTTAGTACGTAACAGGGAACAAAGACCAAATGTCTTTGTGCAGCATTTTGTAATTTTAAATTCATAATAAAACAGTTCGAAAGGAGGGCTCACTCGTGAAATGTTTTTCAACACTCGAAGAGAAATTTCGTGTCTCTGCGCGGCCACGAAATATCCTCTATTTATTCCTCGAGTAATTAAAGACTAAACTCGAAGTGATCTCAAGATATCGCGAAGTAGTCCGGTCTCATTTCGTGAAATAGTTGAAACAAGCCGACAAGTCACGAACTTGCACGCCCAATCTTGTCCCGAAACGTAGTGCATCATTTCATAACTATTTTTAATTTCCCAAACTACCTTGGGTCGCAGTAGCGCAATCGGCTAATCCCTCAACTTAAGAGTCTTCTCTGATCTGACGGGTCACACAGGTGAGTCGTTCAAACCCCGGGAAGGCCAAAATAATAATTCTTTCTTCTTCGAAAAAGTTAAAAGAATAAATCAAAGAAATCGAAGTGATCTCGAGATATCTCGAACTAATTCGGCTCTCACTTCGTCAAATAGCCGAATAGAACCGAAAACCTACAGACTTTACAAGCCCAATCTTGTCAAAAAAAGTCAACTTTGATACATTCCTGAGCGTCGCGAATCCTTTACTTCGCGCTCCGCCGAAGTAATAATATGACGCTTATATTGAATAGACTTTTTTTGTCCTTTCATATTGGAAAGTTTAAACCCTGACATTATATTTTGATGTTTGGTAGCTTTATGTACACTGTACTAAGCAACTCAACATAGCCTTGATTGTATTCTTCTTTGCACGTATGAAATCTTGCTTTTCAAGCACGTAATTGTCTTGCCCCTTTATTTGGTAGAGCTCCCTTAGGTCATAAGCGACCACCAAAGAAGTTTGAGTCTTGACTTTGTGTCAGATATGTTTCCAGTGTTAGTGGCTGCCAAAAAGACATGTTACCTGGCCAGGTTTAATTCGCTCTGGCCACCAAGCTATGGATGGTTCCCTCATTCCACCTTCAAATGTAGTCTCTTTTCCACAAAGAAATGGGCCATTACTTCCACCTTTATGGGAACAAAAGAAATGGTTACATGATTGTAAATGGGTTAATTAAGGCAAACCTGTATTAAGGAGTTATCCAATGTAAGATGCATTATGGTCACAAAAAAGTCTTCCGACAAAATTTAAGGGCGCTCCTGTGCTAGAATCACGTCTTTGATACCCATTAATTTCTATTAATTTCTCTCTAAAAGTTGTCTACCTTCCAACTAAATAACAGACAAGTTAACAAACAGGAAAATTCTAGCATGGTTTTCTTAAGATCCCCTTAAGATCAATTTGATATGTAATAAATAGTTCTTGCTATCATCGTCTTTGCTTGATTTACGGTGTTAATTAAATTAAACCTAGCTGTGTTTAAAATGGGTCAAACTGCACTAAGCAGTCAGTTCACCAGTCCCTAAAGGTAACCATCCCTTTAGAAAGGTTTGACTGCAACTCAATGTTTAAGGTTTTCGCACCTCTTGCCGCTGATGCCAAAGCTGCTCCATTGTCTGATGAAAAAAATACAAAGGTATTGTTGGCTATGCCAAGGTCTTTCAGTTTCAGTAGAATCCTTCCAACACTGTCATCTAACTCCCGCACAGCATCTCCATACCTATTAAAGAGAATTCTAATAATCACCATAAAAGTGTATCTGGAATAAGATCTCAAGACCAAAAGCCCCCTGTTTATGCTTGTGAATCAAGGGGAGAATAGTCACTAAGGGCCTTATTTCAAGCACTCCTTCAGTCACATTTAAGTTACTCCTGATCAATATGATTGATTCACAACTACATACATGAAAAATTAAAAGGAGAATGGAGCATTTCAAACTGGCTTTACATTAACAAGGCACTACTTGGTGAACTCTTGGTACAGTTCCTGCATGGCTGCTAGAGTGTGCATTGGGTCTGCAGTAATTGGCTTTAGCTGTTGCTGTGTCCCTGCCCAAATTATTTAAGTTATTATTAGTGTATTGTTACGTTCTTATTACTAGTATTTGCATATCTTCAGTTTTTTGTATCATCAGGGCAAAGCTAATAAAATAAAAAAATATATATAATAAAACAGCTGATCTCCGGCTATGCATCCATGAATTAAGCACCATCTATTATCAACAGCTGGGTCCTCCTATTCTCTTTTAGTAGCTTCCCTTGCCTTTTCTCTTGTTCCATAATTTCACTATTCTACACTAACCCCTTTCATAGCTCTTGGAATAGGATGCTTTAAAATCAGAAAGATTGGCTCTGATAGATACTTCACAACATCTTTGATGATAGAGGAACACGCAGTCTGCATTGCATTCTCTTTGAACTTCCTCATAACTTTCTTGGTTACATCTGTATTCTTCTGTTAACAACATATGCATTACAGCTGCTTTGCTTTATCTTTAATTTACTTTAAAACTCCGCTTTCACTGATCTCAAGCCTCTTTCACTGTTTTGTCTTTATATCAACTGTGCCGGCAGTACGATTCCAAAGAGGGTGATTTTCTCCATTCTTCACAATAACTTTGAGAGCTACTTTATCTAACTCAGTACTTGGGAGGCAAAAGAGGGTTTCTTCTTCTTATTATCATTATTTATAAAATAACTGAGATAGAACGCGTGATCTGATTGGTCAAAAACCTATGGTTTATTATACCGGTAAACCCATAGAAAAAGGCATCCGCACCACGAGCCATAAACAAAACCGGCTATTAATCTGCAAACAATGATTTTAGAAAGGCTAAAAAACAGAACGAGTTACTTACCTAGCCCTTCTTAATATCAAAAGCGTTGGTTTTCACATTTTATTACTGCCATAGCTTTAGAAGTAATAAAGTACAAAGCTGGAAAGCAGTTTACATTTCACGACGATGCCAAATCGCAGAGATAGACAACAACTGTGTGAATTTGTGGTGTAGAAAGTCTCCCGGAAAACTTAACCATGTGCCAACCAGCAACAAAACGGATAGTTTTAGCATTCTTGTTTTATGTCAAACTTAAATTCCTGAATGAAAGAAATTGTTTCAAAAAGAGATCTCTGATCAAGATATGGTACAAAATGGGCCGCTGTAGGTTGTAAACAAGCTGCCAACGATGATGAAAGATGTCAGAGTTTCGGGCTGGTTTTTTCCAACATTTGCACAAATTATTCGGTGACATCGATGCCATAACCTACCTCAAACCACCTGACTTTACAAATCGACAAATATTAACGCCAATATGTGGTTACGGCAAAGAAATTTTTCTCCACCACTGACATATGTCCATCGGTCGTTGTACGTGCATATAAAGTTACATGCGTCAACTTCGCAAATGCAGCCACGTCGTTACCGCAGCATTTCTTAATCATAATAAAGTCCAGAAAACAGATCTTAAACCACTGCGGCTTGTAAAATGTGAATGAAGTCCTCCATTACAATAGCTGCCAGTTCCGTCTGTGAGCACGAAATTCTTACGGATCGACTCAACAAAATACAGCTGCGTACAGTCTGATGTTCAATTAATTTCTTCTTCTGTAGTAAACAAACCATGAACGTATTCTTTCATTGTACGTTCGCATGAATAAATGTTGACTGTTCCTGTAAAACAGCTTTCATAAGTTATCATGTAATGCCGAGTGCAAAAACTCGTGTTTTGAAGTGCTGCTGTTTGTTGTTTGACTGAACTGAGTTTTGAGAAAGTTCAGCGCTATATTAAATCGTGAGTCATGATTGGCTTATGATGACTTTAGAGAGAAGACATGACTTGATCACGGAACTAAAACCATATATTTTACCAAAAAGACTCCATTCTACTAAAAGTTATTTTATAAAAGCAATAGACCACACTTTCTATGGGTTTACCTGCGTGATAACCCACTTGGGATGTATGTTGGGAGAACACTCGAAAAGCTTGTAAATCACGAGCCGAACATCCCGCGTGGGTTATCACGCCGGTAAACCCACAGAAAGTGTGGTCTATTGCTTAAATGATCAACACTGTTACTGTATAATGACTACTACTTACAGTCCTCTTTGGCTAGTACCCAAGAATTGAGCTGATGCATACGCAGGTGCATGGGTGGAGTCTGGGGCCCAATACAAGAAGAATGGCTTCTGCGTTTTTGCTTGGTTTTCAATGAAATCAAGTGCTTCCTATACAGAAAAATACATCAAAATACATTTTATACATCAATGATCACTGTGACAATAATAAGTTGTTCCAGTGATCATCAACAGTTCTAAACAGAGATGCGCAAAGTATTTCTTGCTTTGTCAACTTTTCAGAATATCAGTATCTTTTACCAGTATCGGAGGGCTAAGTCAACAATAAAATTACTGTCGGTAACAACATGAATAATATTTATGACAACTTCCCAATTCCTAAGGGTGCTACAATACTCGTCACAAATCGTTGAAACAGGAGCCATTTGTCTTGAATTTTCTCCAAATTTCTTACATTCACACTTCACACCTTTGTTCTCACTCAAATGTGCCGCTCTCCTTCCCCAATGTTGAGCCGAGCGTATTTTGGAGCCCTGAAATGACTGCAAACCCAAATCAACATTGGAGAGGGAAAAATCACACAAGTGTTTCAAGATTTGTGACGAGGATTGTCTTTGTGTCAGTAGGGCGTGGACGGGTAACGAAGCGTATGAAGGGTAATCATTTCCGCCTTCAGCAGTGTTAACAATGTGAGATGAGTATTCTTGTTTTTACTGTTCTAGACGTGAAGTCGGACTAATAACTATATAGCAGGTATGCATACTTTTGAGATGAACGATTTAAACGTACATTACTGCAAAACCACTTCAGTGAAAAGGCTCAGTGGAGTCAGTGCCTATTAGTACATCATTGGACAGGGGTGCATATTTCAAGACCAGAGGGGAAGAAAAATACTCAAACATATGGGAATGGAGACGATGTTTGGTGATTTTTTTTTTCTGGGAGCTTCTGGGAGAGAATCGTAGAGAGTATCGCAAATTAGCCCTCATCTCAAATAACTACACAGAGGTGTCCGACGAAAACGGAACCCTTTCCTTCTTTTTCCATGATCTTAAAGGTTCTAGGAACAAAAATGAGTTAACTATGTAAAGAAATACATTGTTAAACGAGATCATTCGTTTTAACGGGCTATCTATCTTTTAAGCGCAAAATCTCAACGATTCACCACTGTGTCCTAGCGTATTAAAGTAATTATAGTACCATAGACTTTATAAACTATCGGTTCACCATGGTGAACCACTTCAAATAGCATTATTGAGTTTGTTCATGAAGAAAACTTTTCCTTATCTGTATGATCTAGGATCTTTTCTATCATTTCAAACACTTGTAGATGCAGTAGTTTTTGTTTTTAAGTGCTAAAATGGCAAAGAATTTCCCGAACACCATGGTGAATCGTGTTACACTAAAGCCGCAGCAAATAATGTCAACAACCTCAGCAATATTTACATAAGATCCTACTAATTTAAATGTGGCTAAATGTAGTTTAGGCAAGGTTAATCTCGAGCTAATGCTGCCAGCGGTCTCGCCCAGTTTGCACATGATCCGTGGGGCGCACCTTTGGAGTTCGCAGGGGCAAACTACGTACAGCCTTGCTTTCTAGCGATCGTTGCGATCAATGCTTTTTGTGAGCGAATCTTTGCGGATTCATTAGCCCCACCCTCCCTTCTCAGAGGGCTTCTTGATTGCAGAGGTAAGTATCGGATTAGGTAAGTATTTCCACTGGACTAGTTTCAGTGTGACGGTGCCTGTTAGCGGCTGCTACTGGGGAGGTTCCCGCTTGCCGGGTTGCCATGGAGACCTCCCTGCGGTGCCTGAATTACCTCGGGCCCTTCCGCGCTAACTTTTAAGGCACCAGTTTCCAAGCTCATCAATTGGCGATGAGTTTAGTTAGACTAATTAGTCCTCTTGCGGGAAAATAAGACGACTAAGACATTTTCTACAAGGAGAAACGGATTTTAGCCGTTCCTCCGATTTCTGATTGAAGAGACTGAATACTCGCCACCCTACTTTCATCTTCGAATTCTCCCTCTCACCGACAACTCCTTCTCGCACAAAACCGAGTTAATCTTTACTTGTACAAAATATCGGCGTATCTTCCTGGTCAGTATAAAATATCATGTGGGCTGTATTTTTTCAGTTTCCCAGTCAAGAAGCATTAAGAACTCATGCCATGGAATGATCTGCGCAGACAACGGAAAATGGGTTTAAAACACTCCTCCAGACTGTCTGAATTGTGCACTCTATATTTTACATAATTGTATTTTAAATGCCTTACTTCCGTCTGTCATTGTGTCATACGCGAAAAATAGTTCAACATACTGTTTTTCTTTTTAATTTTACTTAATGTACACCAAAAAAAAACACGTATCTTCCATCAACGGTCCAAAAAAATTCACTTTGATGTGAACCTGTCATTATTTCCTCTCTTCCGACTAAATACAATACTCGTCACAAATCGTTGAAACAGGAGCCATTTGTCTTGAATTCTCTCCAAATTTCTAACATATTTCACGCTTCACACCTTTGTTCTCACTCAAGTGTGCCGCTCTCCTTCCCCAATGTTGAGCCGAGCGTATTTTGGAGCCCTGAAATGACTGCAAACCCAAATCAACATTGGAGAGGCAAAAATCACACAAGTGTTTCAAGATTTGTGACGAGGATTGTCTTTGTGTCAGTAGGGCGTGGACGGGTAACGAAGCGTATGAAGGGTAATCATTTCCGCCTTCAGCAGTGTTAACAATGTGAGATGAGTATTCTTGTTTTTACTGTTCTAGACGTGAAGTCGGACTAATAACTATATAGCAGGTATGCATACTTTTGAGATGAACGATTTAAACGTACATTACTGCAAAACCACTTCAGTGAAAAGGCTCAGTGGAGTCAGTGCCTATTAGTACATCGGGATTGGACAGGGGGTGCATATTTCAAGACCAGAGGGGAAGAAAAATACTCAAACATATGGGAATGGAGACGATGTTTGGTGATTTTTTTTTTCTGGGAGCTTCTGGGAGAGAATCGTAGAGAGTATCGCAAATTAGCCCTCATCTCAAATAACTACACAGAGGTGTCCGACGAAAACGGAACCCTTTCCTTCTTTTTCCATGATCTTAAAGGTTCTAGGTACAAAAATGAGTTAACTATGTAAAGAAATACATTGTTAAACGAGATCATTCGTTTTAACGGGCTATCTATCTTTTAAGCGCAAAATCTCAACGATTCACCACTGTGTCCTAGCGTATTAAAGTAATTATAGTACCATAGACTTTATAAACTATCGGTTCACCATGGTGAACCACTTCAAATAGCATTATTGAGTTTGTTCATGAAGAAAACTTTTCCTTATCTGTATGATCTAGGATCTTTTCTATCATTTCAAACACTTGTAGATGCAGTAGTTTTTGTTTTTAAGTGCTAAAATGGCAAAGAATTTCCCGAACACCATGGTGAATCGTGTTACACTAAAGCCGCAGCAAATAATGTCAACAACCTCAGCAATATTTACATAAGATCCTACTAATTTAAATGTGGCTAAATGTAGTTTAGGCAAGGTTAATCTCGAGCTAATGCTGCCAGCGGTCTCGCCCAGTTTGCACATGATCCGTGGGGGCGCACCTTTGGAGTTCGCAGGGGCAAACTACGTACAGCCTTGCTTTCTAGCGATCGTTGCGATCAATGCTTTTTGTGAGCGAATCTTTGCGGATTCATTAGCCCCACCCTCCCTTCTCAGAGGGCTTCTTGATTGCAGAGGTAAGTATCGGATTAGGTAAGTATTTCCACTGGACTAGTTTCAGTGTGACGGTGCCTGTTAGCGGCTGCTACTGGGGAGGTTCCCGCTTGCCGGGTTGCCATGGAGACCTCCCTGCGGTGCCTGAATTACCTCGGGCCCTTCCGCGCTAACTTTTAAGGCACCAGTTTCCAAGCTCATCAATTGGCGATGAGTTTAATTAGACTAATTAGTCCTCTTGCGGGAAAATAAGACGACTAAGACATTTTCTACAAGGAGAAACGGATTTTAGCCGTTCCTCCGATTTCTGATTGAAGAGACTGAATACTCCCCACCCTACTTTCATCTTCGAATTCTCCCTCTCACCGACAACTCCTTCTCGCACAAAACCGAGTTCATCTTTACTTGTACAAAATATCGGCGTATCTTCCTGGTCAGTATAAAATATCATGTGGGCTGTATTTTTTCAGTTTCCCAGTCAAGAAGCATTAAGAACTCATGCCATGGAATGATCTGCGCAGACAACGGAAAATGGGTTTAAAACACTCCTCCAGACTGTCTGAATTGTGCACTCTATATTTTACATAATTGTATTTTAAATGCCTTACTTCCATCTGTCATTGTGTCATACGCGAAAAATAGTTCAACATACTGTTTTTCTTTTTAATTTTACTTAATGTACACCAAAAAAAAACACGTATCTTCCATCAACGGTCCAAAAAAATTCACTTTGATGTGAACCTGTCATTATTTCCTCTCTTCCGACTAAATACAATACTCGTCACAAATCGTTGAAACAGGAGCCATTTGTCTTGAATTTTCTCCAAATTTCTAACATATTTCACGCTTCACACCTTTGTTCTCACTCAAGTGTGCCGCTCTCCTTCCCCAATGTTGAGCCGAGCGTATTTTGGAGCCCTGAAATGACTGCAAACCCAAATCAACATTGGAGAGGGAACAATCACACAAGTGTTTTAAGATTTGTGACGAGGATTATAGGTTCAAAGGTTTTGCCTTGATGAAAGTTGTCTGAACCATCATTTCAAGTGATTTAAGAAAAGTTTTTGCTACTGACTAGTTTAATAAAGTATCCAATGATATACAGGAAAGAATATTGCAAAATGTGATATCTACCTCTGTGTAGATTTGAGTCAGATTAGATTCTCCTGTCTTACGACTTATGGCAAACTGCTGATAATATCTGAAAAATGGCAAAATTTAAGATTAAAGAACAGAGAAATATGAAAGCTAAAAATTTAACGTCAAATACCTTAATATACAAAATTTTATGGCCTACCCCTTCCTTGATTTCATAACAAAGTTTAGATACAAGGATTGCAGGTGGGTAGTAGAACGAGATTTTCATGGGAATTTTTGGGTCAACTTTAAGGTGGCTGAACACAGTTTTGGCAGTTTGTTAGTATATGTCATTTGCCAAATCATGGCAAGAGAAGGGTTGCAGCTCACAAGCTGAAACTTGGCAAGTGAAAAATACACTGATGAAAGATTTTGATTGACAGGTAAAAGTTGACATTTTCGTAGTTTCCATGGCAACATAAACGATTGAATACAACCTTAAAATTTCACTTTTGCTCAGTTTACAAAAAATTCACTCATTAGATTTTCCTATAAACTTACATATAGCTAACTATAATTAATCATTACCATTTGAAACTTACTTGACTAAATTTTAACAGAGGGGTTTTTAGATAATCAATAATATAATTGTAGTGTAATTATTAAATGTGTCACAAAAATCGTCTGTTCTACTTCCATTTTAAAGTTCTCATTATCTAAAATACAGAAAAAGTAAAAACTCCTCCAAATATCACAAAATTTTATTTTAATGACTAGATTTTGAGAAATCGTCTTCTGTTTACCATTGCTTTTCCCCCGCCATGTTTGTTTGTCTAAGTTAAAACAATCGCCATCACGCGAATTACCGCTGACCGCCCGCAAAACTGTGTTCAGCCACCTTAAATGGACACAGTCAGCTATGGAACCGCACTGGCCTGGACAATACTTTTCCCAGTTTGAAAAGCGTTTACCTCAACCCGAAATCAAATCTACGCATCTGATACATCTAGAAATCCGCTTCAATCCTACCTAGTGTTTCATTTGATCCTCGATCTTTTACTGAAAATCTCTTTTTTGAGTAAACTTTTACTCATCCTATTACATTATTTTATCATATTTGGTTAAAAACAGTATTCAAAGGAACGTGAACAGAAGAGGTGAGAAACGCGTAGGCGCCAGGCAGGAGAAATCGCCTTCGTTTACCAAAATAACAAGAGAAATGAATCAGTAACACTGATGAACAATAATCATTATATATAAATATTTGGAAAATGGATGGAAAAGGTTACATATATTTGGAAAATCAAGCGTTCTCGACTGTGAACCTTCCACACAGTACAATCACCCAGACTTCGTGCAATTTCTCACCTCTACTGATGTTCGAATTCAGAAGTATTTGTCGATGTTTGGCTTCCCGGGAAAAATCCATTGGTGAATTCTTAATGTTATATAAAAAATAAGTGCTCTGATGTGGCTTAGGGTCTATAATCACGATTTCGCTTGTAACTAGTTCAACTCTACAAGGTTTGTTTAGAGTATTCCGAATAAGCTTTTGTTTCACGCTCGTCTTGTGACCTGCTAATCAGCTAAGAAATGGTATTTAATGCGCATGTGCATCAGCTGACTGTGTCCCTTTAAATACCTCAGACAGTGGAAGCTCTCTTGACGGACACCACTCTTGTATGTGGACATTCAGCTCTACTTACAGCCGCCTTCACAAAACCCCGTCTCAACCCTTACACAAACTCTGCATTTTTACATTCCCATAAGCGGACAATTCACGTAGGCAGTCAAGGACACTTTCTGGGTTTATGAGTTAGATTTTAGCCTTACTTTCAGGCTGCCATAGGCAGATACCTGAAATGAAATCTCATTTTGTCCTCTGAATCTTGTAATTTACATATCAACACCATGTAGCTGTTTGTCACAAAGAATTTACACCAGGTTCAGTTTTACACTTCGAAACACCACTTCATCTTTTATGCTTGTGACTGAATTACAACATTGTAAGAAAAACAGTCTAACCAAACTCTGTCAACTAGTCTTTTCATTTCAAATGTTTATTTGTGGTTGGGCAAGCTCCTGTAAGCGGCCATTTAATTCCAACATCCCTAGCTGGCCACAAATGAGAACCATTCTGACTGGTTAGTGGCCAGCCCCAGTAAGGAACACCTTTTTTGCTTCACAAGGGTGTCCGCTTATGAGAACTTCCACTGTAGATTGTGGGCTCTTATTACCTGCCAATCATCTTGTTGTCTTTGTAAACAGGGATGTTAGGAATGTGAATGTTATCATACGGACCAAAGTGACAGTTAGGGGCACCAAACCATTCATCAAACCCATGCTGCAGAGGCAAAAATTGTGGCTGGTGCCCAAGATGCCTGTTAGTATAATATAAATAGTGAGTAGTGATTTGGGTTCTACCTGCTGAGAATCTATAAAAGGAATAAAGTATTCTCAAGTTATATGTAACACACACAAGCAAAGTGAGTAGTGACAACATGGTCTGCTGTATAGACAAGAAAAAGCATGGAACTTTTTTGTTACACAAGTCAACAAAGTAATATTATGGACAAGATCATACTTGTTTGATAAATCAATTTGCACTCCCTGGAATCTTTCTCACAAACAGCCTTAAGTATGGTCATTTGAGGATGTGTTATGTTATAATAATATTATAATACATTGCTATATATCTTTTTCCAATTACTAGTACTGTACTTGCCTTAATTCTCTAAAACTCTCATAAGAAAGTAAATCTAAGACAAACTAATATAAAGCAGAGAAAAAAATTACATCGACTGATCATACTGTTTTGTAACAATTAACAAACTACTCAGCTCACCATTTGCCCACTATTTTGCTGTAATAACCTTCTGTTTTAAGAATCTTTGGCAGGAGAATTTCACTATCTGCTATTCCACCAACAATGTACTGAGGAGTATAACCTACAAGGGTGATAATATTGAATATAGAATTAAAGCTTTCAAAAGAATAAAATAAATAATACTATACAATGCACATTCGCATAGCCTGCCCATTGGAGACCACCAGAAATAAATAAATTATTATACCTTTAGACTAATAAAAGGATCACTTACCATTTCGAGCGTGATCATTGGTTGTGTAAAATCCATTGCGGATTGGAAGACGGCCAGTGAGTATTGAGGCACGTGCTGTCCAAGGAAAACACAAAGCATGAAGAAGAACCACTAACAATCATTTTTTCGGAAAAATTACTTAATGCAGGACAAAGCAGTGGTAAAATAATAAATATTGCTGAATTTGCAGAGAAGGTGGTTATAAATAACAGTAGCATCCTTTAGACTTTCTGTTATTACAATACTGTACTTATTGTTAAGTTAACAAAAATAAAGTATACTTTACTGTTATTTTACAGTGTACACTGCTCAGCTACAAGGGAACTCAAGAGTATCCATGCATTTGTGGATTAATTCCTGCATTGTCAGGTCAGACTAGCATTCAACCAAATGCAGAAAGCTCTTTATTAGTATACCTGCCAACTCTCACGCCTTAGGCGTGAGTCTCACGCCTGCGGGTTGAAAACTTCGATCTCACGCCGGCTCACGCCTGATTGAAAAATGTGAGTTGTTGCCGTCCTGCTTGACACAATTTCCAAAAATATGTTAACTCAGACCCATGTAAGGAACGAAAACCATGTGTAAAATGAATAAATGGCAATACCTTCCTTGCGATCTCTGATTTTTGAAGTGAAAAGCACTGGGAGCGAGCTCGCCTTTGGCAGTCTTCGGCAGTCTTCGGAAGACTTCGGACGTCTTCGGAAGACTTCCGACTTCTTCGGAAGACTTCGGACTTCTTCGGGAATCTTCAGAAATGATCGTGTCGTCTTCAAAAATCCCAGCACTCCCAGGATAAAAATCTCACGCTTATATCTCAGAAAAAGTTGGCAGGTATATATTAGGGTTCTGCTCACCATGGTAACCTGAATCTGAATCTGGTTAGGGAAATGATAACCAGCTAAATGTAACTTAGGTCAAGTTAAACTGGATATACAATTATGCTGGTCAGTAGTCTCCTTGTTCACTAAATTATATGTGGGATAACTTGAGGGCTTTTACATGAACTTACATCTCCAGTTGAGTTGGTCAACCCACTTAGCTCACATAACTGCACAAGCAGAGCTTGCATTTTGTTCTTTGGTAAGTACTTCACTTTTCCACTGAGGGCTGAATGGCTGGATGTGATGTCAGCAAAATTCAAATTGAAAATTATCAAGTTCCAAGTTTTACTTTCATGAGGTTTAAAAGCAGCTGAAAGGGTTCCTCAAGTAATGATCAAACAATATTGTAGCAAAACTCAGTGACAGATGTTACTGTTGGTTTCCAGCTGCCATGTTGGTGCCCCTCATGAGGGATACCAACATGGCGTCTCCATACAAAGCTCTATAAATTTGGGTAAGACATTCCTCAGTATCTTGCTTATTTGGTAAAATTGCACAGACCTGATTCTTGGCAAGGCTGTTTGGATATTCACCTCCTTTCATTTCCCAGATTTTGGACTTAATCTATTGAATGGTTTTGATCTTTGACAGTCAGTGACACTAGTGAAAGCCAACAGTTCAGTATGATGGTGCCTATAGTGGTTGCTGCTCACAGAGTATTTTGTCTGCATGTTTATCTTCTGCATTCACTTAATGCCACTCGCAAGGAGCTTTCAGGCACCTATCCCTGACTCTCCTCATGGAGATGAGGTTAATCTTCCATATATGATACTTTGAAATGTTCCTTTCGGGGATTTTTTGGGTTTGGAGAATTTGTGCCTTGATTGAAGATCATTCAGTGCAAGACAACCAGTTGATAATGGACAATCAGCCCCATTTCCCACCCTTTATACGACCTCAGCTGAAAATGAATTGCCTTTAATAGTTCACCAATAGACCTGGGTTGAAAACAAATTTAACTAAGGAACAAACTAACCTCACTGAGTTAATATATCATGAGAGTTTAAAAAACAAAACACTTACAAGGGGAGCAAAGTGGATTTGCACAGTAGAAATCTGGAAAGAGTATTCCTTCTGCTGCCATATTGTCCAGATTGGGTGTCTCTTTTGCTGGGTGGCCAAATATTCCCAAATCACCCCATCCCATCTGGAAAAGATAAAATGAGCTACAATGGAATAGTCATTTGGTTCACCTTGTGTCTGGTCCAAAAAGACACCCTTTCAAAACGCTAAATAGTGAAATAGTGAAACTGTATACCCTGTTCCGCGGCACGAAACAGTACTATCAACTTTCTCTAAGACGTGTTAGAGAGGTGTCTGTCTTGTAGAGAGCTGAGGTAATGTGATGCTGGTAATTTTAGGAAACTAATGCTGAACACATTTGCAGTGAAAAGAAGTCTTTTAAACTTGTACAAAAAACAGCTAAAACTAGAACATTGTAGCAGAAAGAGGAATTATTTTCATATTGTGCAATCAAACGTTCATTACAAGCAAATGGTCACGGCTTCATGGTCTAAAAGTGTAACAGTTGATACTCTGCAAACTGGAACAAGCCATACAATAATAAAAATTTTGCAATTTACTGTCAGACCTGCACTTATATTTTCTCCTTTAGAGGTATTTTTCACTGCATAAAGCACCTATCAAGTGTCTGTTGATGGTTCAAAAAGTGTCTGCTGTCCATCTTGTAGGGAGTATAGTAATGGTAAAATGACTGAAAAAGGCAGGCACCAACATAGTCTTGGAGGGGTGTCCGCAGTGGCAGATCCAGACCTACAGGTAAGGGGAAGGGCGTCTCAAAAAAATTTTTTTCAGCCCTTCGGGCATCAGTTTGGTCTAAAAATAAGGGGGGCCCTCCCCAGGATCCACCACTGCTCCATAAAGGGAGAGTTGACTGTACTTTCCCAGGGAGAATAAGGGGGTACCCCCGGACAAGTCGATCACCAAACAACTTTCTGCAAAATTTCACTGCTTTGCCTTTTCTATGCATCACCCTAAAACTTGCAGCTTTAATTACATTAAGTCGCTTTCTCCGCGGTGTCTGTGGATTTTCGCTTGATATTGAGCCATGAATACGTAAAAACTTGAAGAAACCGTACAATATAGGTGGTTTTCATGCAATCTCAGGAGACACAAATAACAAAGGTGAAATGAACAAATGCTGGTGGACAAACAAAGCCAGCTAATGAGCGATCTTTTGTTTACCGTCCACCAGCATGGCGGCGATGACGTAACGTGAAAACCACCTTATGATTCCCAGCGCAGAAAGCGCAATCAGCCATAAGTTATGTAAAATTTGCAAAAAACGGTTAGCTTACATCATCCATCAGCATAAAAATAATATTTGGCTTTCTTTCATCTTCAGCAGCGGCTCCTAAAAGAAGAAAAAGTGCCAAAGCACAAATCTTTAAACCCACAAATGCCATTTTTTTTGGGAGTGCGTATTTCGTGCATTCCCTCACGTGAATACCCCGAGACCGTGGCTGCTTGGTCTGGGTCGCGGCGGGTCGGGGCCCGGCGGGTCGGGGCTCGGCGGGGCTAGGTGGGGACGAGGTTGGCCAGCGGTACATTTTTCAAATCAAGATGGCGGTCTGTGTAGCTGTCATAGGAAAAGAGGTATTTCGGTTCATTTTGGGTGATTATGAAAACCTTTTTTTTTCTATTGAAGATATGCCGATCTTGCTTTAGAATTACCCGCTATTTCTACGGACGGTTTCTCCTGAAGAAGAGCTTAAATTTCACTACACGGTACACACTTCGCTTGATGTTGTAGAGGAGAAGGGTAAGTTTAATTGAGTAAAGTGATTTACTTGCATGAAGTGTGGAGATTCCCTCATGTTTTGTTAAAAGGGGCGGGGGAAGGGGCTCTAATTTTCGTAAGATTTCCGTTTAACCCCATATATTTATTTTGCAAACATGTTTTGACTCTATTCATATTAAACTATTTGCGAAAAAAGCATAAAATTATTGGTTCCTTCTGTGAGTACCGGAGCACAGATTACGTAATACAATAGTAATAAAAGACAGGAAACAAAACAACTCCAAATAAAGACTAATCCCAAGTGACCAAAAATACAAAGCTTTCCGGTACCTGCAGAAAGACCCAAATTATTGCATTCATGAGAAATGTGTGGGGTCAGCCGGAAATCTTACCTGAATTTCTTTAAAGTAGCTGATAAGATTTGGACCCTTCGGATATTTTTTCAAAGTTGCCAACAAATAAAACAACAGTCAGTCCAGATGTTAGCCTGAATTTCATCCGATTGCTTAAGTCGTTTTCTCCTCTCAGCAACGTCTGAATCGACTAGCCTGTGAACAGGCCTTTGGTCGAGCGGGGAACTGGGGAGAGGGAAAAGGGAAAAGGCCTGTAGACAAACACTTGGGACTGCCGTTCCACGGCACCGGCTGTGCATCAGATCCTGATGCAAGATCCTATTGGCGAGAACACTGACTGTTGACAGGTCTGATTGACATCGGCTTTTCGGTCGGCACATAGCACGCGATCTGATCACAAAGTGGCAATAACAAAACAGTCCAAAGACTGTTAAGCTAGCAGGGTTGTCACTAAGGGCCGGAGGGCCGGGGATTTCCCCCGGCTACTCAGAGCATGATCCCCGGCTACTTTCGTCGTTAAATTAAACCAAACGAGCACACCTTTGAAGCACACAAAGACTATCCATCAAACTAAAGTTTCATCTGCGGCAGGTTTAAGTAATTTTGAAATACTCGCGTGGAAAAACTAAGAAATGTCGGAAAAAAAACATCTGAGCAGACTTAGATTTGGTACTAGTACACACACGCACGGCAACGAGAACGCAATAGGTTTATTGAGTAAAACAACTAGTTTGCACGTGCATCATGCTTTTTTGTACATTTCTTGCCGTCACTGCACGACTACGACGTGAAAGTGCCTAGTTTCACATTTTATGGAGGATGTAAACAAGCAACGACAAACTTTTCTTTCTCTTTCTAAACTTGAGTGCGGTCCCAAAGAAGTCAAGTCCTGGGAAATTGGCCTACATTAGCTATTTTCAGTGAATTGAAATAAACACGACAAAGTTGGAAAAAATGCCAATTGATTTTAAAGAGGACTTTTTCGCTGCTGTCACCTTGTCGATGCTAAAAGTTCTTAGTTTCAACTGTTGTGTTGGCTTTGTGTTGAACATGTCAAAAAAGTGGCAAAGGAATCTGCACTCTTTGTTCACAATGAAAGACCTGAGCAGATCTCTGTTGACATCACAGAAGAAGTTGAGGCTTCATCCGAGCATTAAATCTCTCTGATGCTGATGTTGATGATAATGGGGATAATGATGAAGGTTTTGAAGATGAAGACTATGACTGATTGCTGTGTTTAATAAATTGACATTTAAGTGACCAGGCTGTAGGTATCGAGTATATAAAATAACGAACGGTCAACGGGAAATGTTCGATCATTGTCTGCAGGTCATGATCACATCCTCTCAGTTCTACTTCCAAGAAGTTATATATAGAAGGGAAGTTGAGCATTAGTATTAAATTTGCATTCTTCTTCTCGAGTCACGTTTTGACATCTCAGCGTCATTTATAAAGTATTAGTCCTGTCTTTTAAACGCTTTTCCGTAGGTCAGTTTCTTCGTTTGTTAAGTGATGTGTCGTTCCTAAATTTGAGACCACTAATGTTACCAGTTGTGCAGTTTAGTTTTGCCATATTTTATCCCGTGACTTTTCGTATGTTAGGCTTGTTTTGGCCTTATCATACTTTTATTTTTCAACAAAGCATAGTCACCTTATGTTTATGATGATTTTTGTACATTCATCGTCCGCTTGTCTTCTTTCCGCTTCTCCGTGGGTTAATTCATTTGTAATATTAGTTTTACTTTTGTTTTCCGTAAGTTGTTTTGTTCTTACATATAACTAAATGAAGATTTACAATTAATTTTACAGCGCGTGTTATTTCATTTGCACCATATAAGAATCGATTGTCCTTTCCACATTTTTAACATTTGTAAAGTATCGTTGTGATTTAACACTTCACTGGCCAGCATGCGCCTTGTCTTCATGAAGATAAGACTGCGCGGGTAACATGACCGGTGCCTACCTGTCATTTTTTTCAGACCTGGTGCTTACATGTATATTCCCATTTGGCGGCCACTAAAAAAAACCTCCAACAAGCCTTTACGTAAAGTTAAAACTTATTATTTTAGTGTCTCAGAATGTTGTAGTTTTTTTTTAATAAAGATGTGATCATCATAAAACCGCTAATGATAGCTGTACTCTTGGTGAAGATTGTTTTTTTGGGGTGGTAATGCCTTTTGAAAAACGGTAGAAGTTGCACTTCAAAAACTTCGGGGAGGGGGGGGGGGGGCCTTCCCCGGCTACTTACAACAAGTACCCGGCAACTTGAAATCTTAGTGACAACCCTGAGCTAGCTTATTCAAAAGCTATCAATCAAAAGACTCACACTATCTTTAGAAAAACACTAAGCTGGAGTTTACTGAGTCACAATGCAATTCCTCATAGTTGATGTAGCTTCGGTTTAAGCTGCACTTCAATCTTATAATTTTGGATCTGTACACTGTAAATCACTATCCATGATAATTTTTGTAAAAACGTTCCGCAAAGAAAACTAGCAAGCTGAGCCTGTGATAGAACATTGCAGAAAAACATTACATTCACGAACTAAAGAAAATCGCTTAGTTATTCAGATCCAGAAGGCATTTTGGAGAAAAGTAAGACCCTTATTTAGCCGCAATAAAAAGCTTTACGCTTCAAAAGAGGTAAAAACAGAAAATATTCGTGCATCAGAGAGCAAATCCTGCCAACCAGAAATAAAAACCACAGTAAATTGATATGTATGCCATGACCTCTCAGTGTGAAACAAGAGGCTAAAATCACATTTGCTCAGTGAAAATGTAGAACCTTCCAGAGCATAATCTACCCAGCAGAGAAAAAAACTTATGTGAACAAGCAGCATTTTGGCATGAGGTAAAAGTCGTGTAGGCCTACCACCACCTTTTATGCTATAAATACCCGAAGGTGCAATTCCTGTCGGCGATCGAAGCACTGCTGATCTTTTTGTACTTGTCTTTGGAGCTTCACGTTCTGAAGAAGTCATGATAGTATCTGTACCTTTCACATTCCAAGTTCGCTCATTGCAGGGGCTTGTTAAATTAGAAACTGAACTAGCAAGACACACACAAGTTAAGCAGCTTAAATCCGAAAAGCTTTCTCTTTGCTCAAGGGGAAATCTTAAGGATTCAAATGCTTGCACTGGTACAACGCTCTCTTGACCACTGCACCAAAGACCGGCACCGTAATAATTCTCTTACCGGAGATCAACAACTTTTTGCAAAATCAACAATGAGGCTTGTGCTCCATTTCACTCTGTTTTCAGACGGAGCAAAACACCACTCATTTCCCGTTAACTTTCCCGGGAGTTACTCACACGCGAAATTGATTTACAGATATAACGATCTTACTGACAGATGACCGGCAGGATAATGACAAGAGGGCGGAATAGCGGCCTCAAATGATTGTCTACAGGCTCTCTCCCCTCTTTCCCTTTCCTATCCTCGCTATTTTTTTCCCAAACAGAGAGCCTGTTCACAGGCTAGAATCGACCAGCCGTTAATACCGTCCAGTGACGTCACTACTACCTGAAAACCGGGTAGTGATTTTGATTGGCTGATTGTCTAAATGGGATTGTCGCTCGATATTTAGTGGATCGCATCAGTGGCATGCTTGCATGGAGCTCAAACAGTTCTATAATCTTTATCATAAACAGCAAAATTTCCTCTTCAAAACTGAATTGCTAAATTTATCTGCGAATGAAGAATCATTGCGGTGAGTCGGTAAGGTTTTCATTTAGAACCACTTTGTGGTTTCTACAGTGATTTTGTTTATGCAAAGTTTCTGAGACCAATAATTTCATGTTGTCATTCAACCTTCTTTCTATTTTCACCGTCAAGTGCAATGATTCTGTTAGCTTTTCTTTCTTGTTTCCTTGTTTTGTTTTTTCTTCGTTAAGGACCAAATAGCTTCTTTTCAATTAAAGAAACTGTTGTGTTATTTAACTAAGTGTTCTGTGTGTGTATTTATTGCATTGCATGATGGCGACCAGGTTTGAATTACAACCGGTTCAAAGTGCTGTATGCAGTAGTTGATAGTTTGAACGTTAAACAAGAATTACGATCGAAAAGAGTAAAGCAATTTTGTCAGCTGTTTTGTATCATGTAGACATTTCCAAACTATATTTTTTGGTTGCCACTTGAAAATCGTGTTTTACTTTTTGCAAGAATTAAAGCAAAGGAGTAGTGACGTCACTGCACGGCATTAACGGCTGGTTGATTCAAACGTTACTGAGGGAGTAACAACAACTCGAAGTAATCAGATTAAATTCAGGCTACCCAGACGTAGTGTGTGTCAACAACATGGACAAAATCAGATCGATCGGAGCGAGACTAAGGGTCGATGATATTCTACTGTGGAGGAATTAAAAAATATGTAATGTTTCAAATAAATGTATCTTTAACAATTATTCCTCAAGCCCGAATGGGCTTTGAGTCAATAGCCCATGAGGCTGAAGTCGGAATGGGCTATTGACTCAGAGACCATGAGGGCGAGAGGAATAATTGTTTTAGTAAAATCCAACTAGTGGGTCTAAAATATCGAGAATAAAAAAATTTTAGCTAGTTAAAGCCAGACTTTAATCCTTTTTTGATGCCAAAAAGCCCATGCTTTTCGTTACTAATGGGCTATAACATATAGCCTAGTAGTAGCTCAACCAATCAGATCGCAGCATTGATAAAAGACCACTGGTTGGATTTTACTAATTACCATTATCTCTTTGTGTATTGACTGACCTGGTTTATTTTCCCCCTAAAATTGTCTTTTTTCTTATCGAATCTGACACTTTTGTAGCCTGAATTTCATCCAATTACTTCAAGTCATTATTGCTCCCTCAAGAGGAGAAAACGACTCGAAGCAATCGGATGAATTTCAGGCTAACACTTTTGTGAGCTACCACATTTAAAACCCTACCATCAAACTAGTTTTATTTTGACTGCTAGGCTCTTTTAGATCAATAGTAGGTTTTTAAATGTGGTGGCTTGCAAGAGTGTCAGATTCGATAAGAAACAGAATTTTTTGGAGAAAATAAACCAGGACAAGTCAAAACAACAAAGAGATAATGGTAAAGACACATTTATTTGCAATATTACATACTTTTAAATTCCTCTTCAGTAGAATATTTCCGACTCTTAGTCTAGCTCTAAATTGATCTGATTTTGTCTATGTTGTTGACACACACTACCTCTGGGCTGCCTGTGATAAGGCAAGTACCCTTTGTATTTCATTTTTGAAAGGGTACCAACTGTAACAAACATTATTTCCTGATTGGCTGATATCCTGCAGTTAATTCTTCATAACCAACTAGCGTTGACCAAATTGGGAAGATATTTGTGATATGTGGAAAAAGACGTCACATTTTAGTACAGCTTAAATGCTAAACAAATTGGTGGCAACTGAGAAACCCAAAGGTTGGAACCTTTTGCATGTTTTGCAAAGAAGAAATTGCCAAACTACTGCCTAAAAACATCGCAAGAATAAGAACTCAACAGATGACATGTGCTATTTATAAAATAGCTGCTGGACTCAGTACATAAAACATCCTTTTTATTCATGAACGTTATGAGAAATAGGCAAATAAAGACGGGAACTTGACATTGGTGGAGGTAAGCACGTTGTAGCTTGTTTTTAAAGAAATCGGGAATCGGGATTGGGGGGTGATGGATTTTCCTGCCATTTTTAAGGGGTTGTGGGAGAAAAAATGGAACGTCCCTTTGTATCAATTGTTAAATATTGTGTCTGGTTTAAAAATCAAAATAAATGGCTGGGTTGAATTCTCCTATTTAGCGAGTAGTACTCTCCTCTACAGTAACAGAGATACATGTGTACACTCAGGCTGTCGCAAACGACAAATAGCACGTGGGCATTTTGACATGAATGTAAGCTTAACCAATAGATAAAATCAGCAATCACAGGAAATTCCTGTGTGGCCAAACTATGAGCGATAAAAGAATAGGATCGAGTAGATTTACGACCAGTTTTTTGTGACAGTGCGAGTGTCAGAGAGTTGTACCTGAGGTGATCGAATTGTGACTGTGAGAATAAATACCTTGAAAACATTTTGTGAATTTTGGAGAGCACTGAAGTAGAGCGGACATTCTCCAAAAGGCAATCCCCTTACACAGGCTGTTAAAAGATTAGGTTTTTGAAATTGTTTTGATTGAAAGTTTCACAGAGCTGTTTTAGTTATGATTTGTAACTCTAACATTGTGTTTAACATATTTAGTGTCATCACTTACTAAAAGTTCCAATGACCCTCGAGAGCTCTACCTTGGTTTGCTATATCCAACAGAAGACTATAAAGTGTATCCTTTACTAGAGTTTTACAACTGAAGGACAATGGTCATTCAGTAAGAATTATTATTATTTTGTTTGGTTTGTATATAAGAGAGAGATGGCCCATTAAAAATTGAAAGAAATAGACTGTCAAAATATCGCTAACTATTACCTTATCTTTTTCATGCATCAACAGCAAGTCTGACCTAAGTGTTTTGTTGGATTTGAAAACAGCTCCTATGCAACAATATGTTGTAGGCAAAAGGCAAAAAGGTTTAGATAACCTGAAGGGACCTGAACTGCTGTAGATTTTGTTTTAGTTAGGATTTCTTTATCAAATGTCTGGTTTCAATGTGGATACATCTATCAGAAAAGAGCAGAGGACAAATGTTACAGGTCCAATTCAATTTCAGGTTAATTTTGATTTAATCTAGGTTGATTCTCAAATTCCTTGTCTCCTTACTCTAGGAGACGATGGGGAATCAACCTAGTTTAAAACATTTTAATCTGGAATCAAATCTTACCTGTAACATAAATGCTTCTTTTTCCTGGAGATAACCAAGCTATGAGATTTTTCTTTAGATCGTATGAGCACTTGATTAATATTCTTAATGTATTGGCATCATAGTAAGAAATTAATTTTGTCACAGCTAAATTATTTCTTTCCCACCCTTTTTGTAACAATGCCAACTTTTAATTTCCTTGACCAAAAGTGAAAGATATGGTTATGTAACAAATACTAAGATCAAGTTTGTAGTTGTTGTGGAATCAGCTAACACTGCTTTAAGAGATAATGAAATAAGAACAGTGAGTGATGGCATTATCTACCTTTATGTTAAGTTGTTTTTGGATTATATTCTACAGTCAAACTTCCACTAATTAGGTCAGTAACAGAGCATAGGAGACTGGTGATTTTCAGGAAGGCATGTGAAACACTTTTTAATTTTGTTAACGCTAAGCACTTAAATTACAAGTGAAACAACATCAAGGCTGTGCTCTAAGAAAAACTGAAGGGAGCCTGGCAGTGCTCTGAACCTGAATAATGTCTAGGGTGCCCATGCGCGCAGCATATGATTTGTGTCAAAAACAAAACAATGCCAGATTTTCCAGTTGCCTGAGAGCAAAAGTTGAGCACCAGGGGCCACCAGGCTCTGCAAGAACACAGCCATGAACCTGAACTACCCTGGTTCTATTTTTTCCAGCAAAAGATTAGCAATAACTACTTGTTGCATTTTCTCCCAAGTTATCACACACATTTTGTTTTTCACACTGGTCTATTTCATTGGAGTTGGTGAAAGGATTTCTGCAACAACGTTGTTTTACAGATCATGAAATTGCAAAAGCTCGCACAATGCCACGTGGTACATTGCCGTTTCTAGTTGTCTGAAGTTTACCTTCACCATTGAAGCTTTTGATTTCTTAGGTCATTTCTGTCCCTTTTTTGCTTGCAGATGTTTCGGAAACTTCATGTTGCTTATACAGACATGTTTTGCAATCCTTTCTATAATCCTGGAGAAAACATCACGTCAAGGTGGGATCAGAAAAAATATCATACTTTTGAAGTGTAAAAATAAAGTTTACTTATGTTGATCTCCTATTTTTTTCTGTAGAATATTTGAAAGGACTGTCTTAGGAATGATGAAGCAAGATTGATCAGTATACATTTGACTGTGTAAATTTATTTAAGACTCCTGATCCTTCAGGATTTATGATTTAGAGCCATCCATTCTGTAAAATAGTATCCAAGGCATAGTAATAATCTTATAAAACAGGGCAATAAATAGAATGCTTTCTGTACTGCATGCTGTCTTTCACAACAGGGCTTCTGTAGACTATGAGCAGTCTCTCTCTTTTCTTCCGGGTCCGTCGAACAAAACGCCTGAGACACGCAAATGACCACGCGCGTGACTGAAGGCGCGAGGCTGTGTCTGCCTCCCTTGTTTCTCGCGTCTCGCGGCTTCGCCGCTCAACGCTCGCGCGTGCGTGCACTCCTCTTACTAAATCTGAAGAAAAGACAGACTGCTCGCAGTCTAGGGCTTCTTATATTATGAGAGCATTTTATTGCACAATCCCTACAATCCCTGTCTTATTTGAACATAAGAACTCTATTTAGCTTTGCAAAAGTCATGCAAAGCCTTTGAAACTTTTGAATTTTGTAAATAAATATGTTACAGTATATCTTATATTTTTGCTTCATGTGACCTCCTTAAAATTCAACACAGTAAGTATCAAAATAATGACTCCTAGTACAGAGAAATGCAAAGACAAACCACTTAGCTTGTCTTGTATTGGACTCATTTATAAACACTATCAATTATGTGATGTTCCACTTAACAATTGGCAACAACAAAATCCCCCTCTCCCTGAGGGCAAAAGCAGCTCCCTTCCCCCCCTGACAAGGTTTTCTTGGTTGATTGAGGTGAAATGTAATAATGCTGGAGAGTGTATTTTAGACAAAAAAATTGACGCGATATGCGTTATCAAACAAGGTCTTGCGCTCGAGTAAGGCTTCTCTTCAAAGAGTGCATGTACTCTACAACATTGAAACCAGGCGTAGGGGGTACCCTGCGAGCAGAGGTTTCTCTCTTGGTTGGCTTTAAGCGTTTACGAAATCGTTGGCGTTGCTTGTCAGTTGCGTAGCTGGTTTGCTGGCGACTGACCGAAGAAAGTGGCCATTTTAGAGAAGTTTAAACAAGAGTCAATGTATGGACTGTCCACCACAAAAAGTGGCCTTTGTAGAGAGGTGGCCGTTAGTTGAGGCTCGACTGTATTGTTTAGGTTTACTTTTATAGAAAGATTTTGAAACAAGAATTATGTGTAAGATAATAAATGACAAAGATATAACAAATACATAGCTAGAAATTTCCAGAGGTACGCGAAGAAGGTTAAGAAGGTTAAAGGTTGAGAAAATGGTAAGTTATTGCTGCCGCGCAAGCGAACCTGAAGCGAGCGAGTGAGCAAGGCAGCAGACGTAATCCGCACAGAAATAAAAATTTTCAACTACGCCACGATGCATCTGGAATTTTGAATCACACTGCAACGGATTTTTCTCGCAATGACAATTCCTTGCACACCCATTGCGTTTATATTCCAAAATCCGCTGGCGATTTCGGTTACATGAAATTTGTTAAGGTTTGGTTGAAATCCTCGATTTAACGTGTCTCTCTGATGAATTTCCCTTTAACATTATATTGTCATGGTATGTTTTGACGATCTTTAAAGCGGTATGTGGGATTTCTTTATATCTTTTCTTCAGTTTTTTACGTTTCTGAGAATCATGGGCGATTTCAACATAGATCTATTGAAATGCGAAACATCTCAAATTAGTCATGACTTCTTAATGTCCTTACAAAGTTGCTATCTCATTCCAACAGTTGATAAGCCCACTCGAGTGATAGAATATTATTTATTGTAACTTAAAATTGTAGTTTTCCTTCCTTTTCCTTTCCTTTCTTTTCCTTTCACTCCTCCTAGATTAGCAATTGCTATTTTGCGGGCCAGTCTATTGTAACCAGTAGTCTTATGAAATAAAGTTGACGAAGTTGAATCTTTCCACCTACCCCTCCCCTAACCCAACATTTAACCCTAAGAGAGACGTAACTGTTAATGTTGGTTTAGGGGAGGGGTAGGCGGGCAGTTTCCCAGAAACCGTCCCTACAATCTGTAAGGAACGGCGTGCAGTGTGATGGAATGCGTAGAACAAAATATTGATTGAGAAGCCACAAAGTGAAAGAGCGACGTTGCGCATGCCCCGAATCTTATGGTCGGCCATTTGTTTCAAAATTATGACACGATATACGTGCGGTTTTTTCCCACGTATACTTGCAATCATTCCTGCTACACGATATACGTGCGTTTTTTTGTCACGTATACTTGCGTTTTATTCCCAAGTATATGACCATTTTCTTACAAACGCGCATATATATGCGCACAAAAAAGCCCATATATATGTGTTACAAACAAGCATGTGGTATATGCGGTCGCAGAAAGTCGTCGTATAAAGTTCACCGAATTACAAAAAACCCCTTCATGTACGGCGGAGCTGAAAAGTAACTTCAGTTTAAATCAAGCATGACCGCAATGCCGCGTTATGTATCGGTCAAATCGAAGCTTCAACATGCCCCCCCCCCCGGGCATACCCCGGGCATTTGACACCTTTGCCGTCCCGGGGAGGAGGGAATTTGATTATCAGAGTCTTCCAGGGGGTGGGGAATTTGATCCCCATGCTTTAGGGGTGGGGAATTTGAACTGCGCCCTCGATTTCATGTCAAATCTTTGGCGCGGCGAGCTATGATGGGGGACGCGGTATTAGAGGATTTTGGTGGAAAAGATTGTGCCTTTGTGGCCAATTGGTTACAAGGAAAGGGCTTAAACAAGCTTTGTGCCGTTTTTGAAGTATTTAAATTTTAAATTTTTTAATATTGGATTCAGGCTTTGAATGTATGACTGTTATTGTTGTGTTTACAATGAAATACAATACCTATACCAGCGATTCAATGCAACAACATAAAATCAAATCAAATCAAATAAAAAGCTCAGGTCAACTACTTTGACCTACCGCAAGTATGTTAATTTATACAGTGAGCGATGATGCATGTCAGTGAAATGGTCATGATGTAGTAATCTCAATAGGTGGGATCTCAGTTTTATAGAACGCTCTATATGTTACATGATGAAGAAAAGCTGAGCATTCAGTGACCTTGTAGCAGCGATTTCCGCCGCTTTGCACGAGTTTTTTGGTCGTAGTAAATACGCTAACTGTGTCTCTCAGTTTTTGTTATATTTATAAAGATTTTGTTCGACAACTGAAGGCGTTTCCGCCGTCCTTCTGTCATTTTTGTCCCTGTGAAATGTCCCCGGGGTGGGGGCATTTGATCACCTGAATGGCCTAGTGTGGGGCATTTGAACGGCATTTTGGCCCGGGTAGGGGGGAATTTGAACAATAATTTTCAAAAAAGTCAAATGCCCGGGGGGTTGCCCGGGGGGGCATGTTGAAGCTTCGATTTGACCGATACATTAATTCGAGCAAATTAGGTCCTTATTCATTGCCCTCACAGTAGTGGTGGTTGTTGGCTCCCCGACAACGGGTTTGTTGGAATCCGTGGATTGTCTCTTGAGAGACTGTGTACGCTATTTCACGAATGCTGACCGAAACAGCGATCGATTCAGTTAGAAATTAGCGTCCGATAGGCGAAACACGACGCATAAGCTCTTGATAATGTGAGACATGACCTTGAGACCTTTCTTCTTTTCTCTCTCGCGCGAGAACGCGAAATAATGAAAAGCTTCGAGACTAAGAGGCTCAGAACGTGGTCTTGGAGGCGAAAAGGTGCTAATTCGCGCGCGAGAGAGAAAAGAAGAAAGGTCTCCAGGTCATGTTTCACATTACATCAAGAGCTTACGAGTCGTGTTTTGCCTGTCGGACGCTAATTTCTAACTGAATCGATCGTTGTTTCGGTCAGCATTTGTGAAATAGAGTACACAGTCTCTCAAGAGACAATCGACGGATTCCAACAAATCCGTTGTCGGGGAATCAACAACCACTACTACTGTGAGGGCAATGAATAAGGAGCCAAATCTTGCTCGAAATTAACGCGGGTATTGCGGCCATGATTGATTCAAACTGAAGTTACTTTCCAGCTCCGCCGTACGTGAATGGGTTTTTTGCTGACGGTATAATTCGGTGCCTCTTATACGACGACTTTCTGCGACTGCATATACCACATGCTTGTTTGTAAACATATATGGGCTTTTTTGTGCGCATATATATGCGCGTTTGTAAGAAAATGGTCATATACTTGGGAATAAAACGCAAGTATACGTGACAAAAAAACGCACGTATATCGTGTAGCAGGAATGATTGCAAGTATACGTGGGAAAAAAACCGCAGGTATATCGTGTCATATTTTGAAACAAAAGGCCGAAAATAGAATCTGACATCTACTGTGAATCTTCGAGTGAATCGAGATTTAATTAAAGGCGATTTTTGTTTACCTGTAAAATACACAAGTATTAGTATACCATGGCAAAGCAAAATAGATCTGAAGAGACAACTTTGGTAGCCTGAAATTCATCTGATTGCTTCGAGTCGTTTTCTCCTCTCAGCGACGACGTTACTGAGAAAGTAATAACGACTCGAAGTAATCGGATGAAATTCAGACTACAACTTTGGTTCTCAATTATTATAGGTTGCGTAGCTAACAGGATCAGAGTTAAAGAGTGCTTCTTTTGGTGTAGCGAGCTGCGAGTGACTTATGCCTATTCTTTTCCTAGCTTTATCGCTTATCAGTCCTCGGCCGGGTTACACTGGGTGCCAGAGGCTTTTCATGCGCGTAGTTACTAAAACATGGAACGACCTAAAACCACCTAAAACCATCTACAACCACCTAAAACCACCTACAACCACCTCAAAAAAACCAACAACCACCTACAACCATCTACAACCACCTCAAAAACATCTACAACCACTCGCAAACAATCTAAAACCGTCTTAAACAGGGTATAAATGTCTGAAATAGTTTCACACAAATGTACGTAGTCCCGCAGAATCCTTTAGTCTAGTGTGAACGTGTCTCACTTACAGAGCCTGATTTTATACAGCTATTAACCCGTTTACAGTTGCAAGAATTAGAAAACATTATATAATGATATTTGATAATTCTTTTCAGCAAAATGAATCAAAACGTTCTTACCAGTAACGTCCCTTGGCGGGGAGGGAAGACCCGAATATGTGATCAATATTTTTCGTTCCGTTTTAGCTCGTAAAGTTCCAGCTACTCTAGCCTGTGCCAGGCTCTCAGATAGTATATAGTGGGGACGTATTTACAACGAGCAAAGCGAAATTAAGAAGCGCGCATATCCCATCACTCCCAAGAAGAGGGCCGGGGTGAAAGTTGGGTTCCAAATCATAATAAAGGTATATAA